TTTATTATTTAAAAGCAGTTTATCGATGTTTTTGCTTTTACGGAATGCGATTTATACGATCTTTTAATAACTTGCTAGATAAATGTCGTTAGCATCGATAACTTTATAATCCGCTATTACGATTATATCGACTATTAGAATTCGATACTTTATCGGACTCGAAAAAAGATCTTTTCGGACTCGATTAAAGTGTTCGGCATATATAAGATTAAAGATAAAAAGATTAAGCTAATTAACGAAGCAAACGGCGTAAGAGCAATATTAAGTAGCAAAGTTGATTAATACGAGCTATCGAAGGTTAAAGATACGTTATAAGAGCAAGTAAAAGAATATAAGCAATACTTTTTTCCGCGTATTGCTAATATACCGAAAGGCTTTCGAATTATACTCGAACGCATAGCGAACTTAGATATCGGTAATATACTACGGCTTAAAGAAAAGGATTTATTTAAAAAAATAATATTAAGCAAAGAAAAATCAATCGTATTCGCTTAGTAAGAGTGCGGTAAGTTTTACGACGACGTATTATCATCGATTAAGCTTAAAATTATCTTATATACGGCTTAATAAGCTTTTAACTACTCGTATTCGAAAGCTTTATAGCTTATTATTATTAAAATGCTTTAAGACAAGCTAGATAAAGGAGTTTTAAAGTATTGCGAAAGATCGTATCGGAATCAGTGGTTTTTAATAGCTAAAAAGCAGCCGGGCTAGTATCGACTTATTAATTTAACAACTTTATTTAATACAATTATACGAAGAAACGCTAATCTACTTTTAATTGTAAATGAGTTTATTAAAAAGTTTTTTAGTTGCTAGATAGCTAGCTTAATCGACTTTTATTCGAGCTATGATTAGCAAATACTTTATTAATCGAGTAAAGACTTTATCGCTTTTTTTATACCGCTAAGTTTTCTTCGATATATTACTTTTTCGTAAAGTGTTATAAACTCGGTAGCTCAATTCGTTCGAATAGTTAATCTTATCTTAAAGCTTTTATAATTTAAAGTCTTTATATTATTTATCGACGATATTAAAGTGAAAAGATTACAAACGGATTATTTCGACGAAAAAGTATTCTCGAGTATACGCCGATTCGTGCTCGAATACATTTAAAATATCGATAAGACTTTAAAACGGATTAAGCGCGCTAGTGTTATAATTAAAGAAAAGTCATAGTTTTGCCGAGATAAGATAAATGTGATAAGATTCGTATGCAATTCGAGAAGTCGAGAACCCGTTGCGGATAAAGTTATTAAAATTAATAACTAGAAAACTTTTGAAAACGTTATTAAAGTTAAAGGATTTTTAAGCTTTTGCTTTTACTTTCGCATTTAAGTTAAAGGATTCGTATATATTGCTGACCTTTTTTACAACTTTATAAAAAAAGATATAGATTAATAATAGATCGAAGCGCATTCGAAAGCTATGCGAATGCTATAAGATGCTTTAACAACGGCTTCGGTTTTAATTAAGATCGATTACGAAGATTAAAATAAAGAAATAGTAATAAGAACGGACGCTAGCTTAAAAAGATAAAAAAGATATATTAGCTAACGCGAAACTACTTTTAGTAAAATGCAATCGGCTCGATACGAATCTAAAGCTTAAACGAAAGCAAAACGGAATTACGACGTTATTAAACGAAAGTGCCGCGAAATACTTAAGGTTTTTAAAAAACTTAAGCTATAGATTATCGAAGTGCATTTTATTTTCGAGACTAACGCTAAAGTGCTCGTTGCTTAGCTTTAACGAAGAGCTATCGATATACCTTCGGCTTTAATTATACGCTAGTTAATTTAAATTAATCTTTTCGACTTTAAAGTCCGATATATTTTCGATAAGGATTATATCGCTGCCGATGCATTATCGAAACGGCTACGGCACTTCGATGATTTAAGCGAAAAGGATAAGAATAAGTTCGATAATAGCTTGCTAGCCGACTTAAGACTTATTAAAGCTCGAGACGGCTTCGAAAGACTTTCGACGGACTTTTTAATAGATATTCGTTAATTTATTTTTAAAGATATATTTTAACGCTCGAAAGAAACGAAAAATGCAAACTTAAACGAGTTTAACGACGATTACGATTACGAAAGTTTTTTAAACTTAATCGAATACTTTTTAAAATCAATTCGGATAGCTATCTTTTTAACGATTTTGCGAAGACTTAAGGACTTAAATAAAGTAGAATGTTATAAGTTTAAAAAAAAGGCTATTAAATACGAAGTGAACGATAAGAAACTTTAGAGACTCTCGACGAAAGGTCTTTTTTCTTTCCGATTAGTAGTCGATAAGCCTTCGATTAAGACGGATATTATTACGGCTTATTACGATAAAAGTAGTTATAAAAGCCGTGAATCAACTTACTATCGTATATCTTAGCGCTACTTTTAAAATAGATGTTATACGGACGTCAAACGATTCGTTAAGACTTGTAAAGAATGCTAGCATCGAGTAATTAATAAGCTCGAAGAGCTATTATATTTTATTCGATTTAATAGCTTAATGAAACGTTAGGCTATCGATATTATTTATTTACTTGCACGCAATAGCAAGAGCTATTTAGTTATTGCTAAAGACGATATAAGTAAATAAGTCGAAGCGAAAGCGATTCGGATTCGAGACTCGCTTTCGGTAGCTAAGTTTATTTAAAAAGATATCATTTACCGCTATAAGATTTTCTTTTAATTAATAATCGACGGAAGTTCGAAGTTTAAAAAAAAAGTAATCGATTTACTTAATAATTAAAGAATCAATCGAGTCGTAATCTTAATATACTATTTTTAAGCGAATAAAATAGTAGAACGCGGCCACGGATTAATTAAAGACGCATTAAATAAACTTAAAAGCATCGATTAGATTGCGCAATTGCTAATCGTTTTATTCGCCGACCGTACTTCGGTGCATATTCTTACCGGATTCACCTTTTTTTATATAATATATAGCAAAGAAGCAATGCTTTCGATTAAGATCCGAATTTAGTTTTAAGCTACGTTATTTTAAAAGTTAGTAACTAATCGTGCTAAGCTTATCGAATTAAAGGCACGCTAGTTTCGGATGCGAGACGAAGACGTTACGGAGGCTATACTTAAGAAAACCCGTTGCCGTTAAAAGAGAAAAGATGCTTTTAATAGTAAAAAGAACCTTCGAATCAGACTTTTAAAAGTAAGTGATTTAGTTTTTAAGCACGATTCGGTACGTAAAGTAGATATATTTAACGTTAAGAAGCTAGATTTTCGGTAGCTTAGCTTTTATTAAATTTCGTTAGTAAATATAAAAGGATATTATAAGTTGAAAAAGTTAAAAGAAGACGAAGCTTTATTAAACGGAATATTTGCTGGCAATTGATTAAAGAAGTTTTACGTGCGATACATTTTCGAAGCGTTACCACCTCGCTTTAAGCTTTATATAAAGAGATCTTTAAAATAGCTTTTACTAGATGAAGTGGCCGAGTCCGGCTTTTAGATCAAGCGTTTAAATAGATTTGTTATTCGATTATTTAGCTTTACGAAAGAGCAACGGAGCTAATACGCAAGAGTCTTTATGAGTAATGATAAAAAGGCAATAGAAAGTGATTAAGTTATAAGAGCATGATTATACGTAAAAGAAAGGTCGAGTTTAGATTTGATTTTTGATTTTTTTTTTGTTTAAGTTTAGTTTTTTTTGTTTTCTTTTTTTTTATACTTTTTTTATTTCCTTTTTTATATTGAAAAGCCTTACGTTATTACACTTATATGCCTTCGATTTATTATATACGAGCATGTTATACATATAAAGCGGATCTTATTCGAAGGTTGATTAAAAAGAGCATACGAAAAATTTATTGCATTAATTACTTAATAAGCTGCTGATACGCGATAAAAACTCTTTCGATCTTATAACTTAAGGTTAAGTAGAATAGTGCGAGAGCCTTTCGCAGCACTTTAAGCATTGCTTTTACTTTTTAAAGTCTTACCGATGTTGCTACGATTCGAACCTTTCGTAAAACTACGAGTATTGCTACGGCTAGAACCTCGCGAAAAAGAACTATCGGTATTGCCGCGATTAAAAGCTTAGCGAGCACTTTAGCGGAGCTTCTTTGCTTAAAGAAGTGCTAGCGATTTCGAAGATAAAGATAAAAGAGATAAAGATTTTTCGGCAATCTATCGTAATTAGATCGAAAAGGAATTATAAAAGGTTCGTAATATATATTTACGCGGCTAAGAAAGTTACTTAGCAAGGTATTATTTCGATCTATTACAATTAAGATTTAACGCAGCAGGTCTAGTAGGCTGCTCCATGGGGCCCCATGGGGCCCCACGGAGTTTTGAGTCCTCCCCACGGGGGAACCTACGAGGGGTACAAAATTCTGCCCCTCCCTATAGGGAAACCCTATAGGGCGTAGGGTTACTCCATAGGGTTTATATACATAAAAATATGCATATGCATAATTACTAATCAGGTTTACTAATCACATTTACTAATCACATTTACTAATCACATTTACTAATCACATTTACTAATCACATTTACTAATTAGAGACTCAAAGTATTAGTCAAATTTACTAGTTACAAAGGCCCAAGGGTTGGTAAAGACCCGTTCTTTAGCCTAAGTCTATTAGTTACAAAGAGTTGATAAAGACCCGTCCTTCTGCAGTTACGTAGAATACGTTCAACTCGGTCTCCGCCTTTGGCCCAAGCTCTTGCTTGTAAGCATGGTTCAGATAAATCTCGTCTGACTCAAGTAGCTCTCCCAGCTTTTAGCACTTATTGCTCCACCTAAACTCATTTTCATCCGAGAACTTGAGGGTAAGGCGTTTATATACTAAAGTGCTATCGATAGTGAAAGGGTATAGCATCAATAGCTCTTTCAAGATGCTTTTAGCTTCGGCATGATCGCTATCGAAAAGCTCAAGAGTAAGATCACCTAAGATCAATCGAACCTTGACATCCTCATGAGTGAATTGCTTTCCAATTACGTTGAGAAAAGAGACAAAGTGGTCGAAGAGATAAAGGACTTAAGCGCTCTCCTTCTAAATAAAAAATCAATCAATGATCATAGAATATAGATGTTATTACTAACCTTATTAGCACCGTAATGCTTAATGCCGAACTCGTCGATAAAACCTTTGCGACCCTTCCATTCGTACTCGAGGCCGATTAGTCTTAAAAACAAAGCGGTATCCTCCCCGTCATAGCAAGTAAACATTGAATTAACAACGCTACCATCAGCATAAACGACCACGAAATCCTTGTAGCGACCAGGTATCTCGTTGATTGGCTTGTTGCCACCAGTGCCAAAAGGGTTGACCTCGACCATAGCGTTATAAAGAAAAGGAATCGACATTGCTAAATAAAGAAAATAATTAGCTTGAAGCAAAGAATCAAAAAGCAAAGAATCAAAAAGCAAAGAATCAAAAAGCAAAGAATCAAAAAGAAAATAATTACCCAAGTTGAATGTGGTTGTAATTGAGTGTTAAGGTTAGTTAAGAAGTTGAAGTTAAGTGTTGAAGTTAAGAAGTTGAAGTTGGGTGTTAAAGTTAAGGTTAAGAAGTTGGGTGTTAAGGTTGAAGTTGAGAAGTTAAGTGTTAAAGTGATAATAAAAAAAAGAAAAGGAAAAAGAAAAGGAGCGAGTACTTATATAAAAATAAAAGTATAGCCTAATCGTAATCGAGGCATTGCCTCGATTCATCAAAGGTGAATTATAATATTTGAAACAATAAATCGACGCGGAACAAAGAAAATAACGCGTTTTGAAACAATGAATCGACGCGGAACAAAGAAAATAACGCGTCGCTTAATGATAATCGATGCAATGCTTCGATTCAACAAAAGTGAATTACAATATTTGAAACACGAACTCGACGCAGAACAAAGAAAGAACGCTTCGCTTAA